AGACCACCAGAAGGGAGAGGAAGAAAGAAGGGGGATGGCGATGGAGGGTCCCTCTGGCTTCGAGCCAAGGATTGCGTCAGGGAGGGTTTCGAAGCGCAGACGGGGATTGCTCTCTGAGTCTACCGAGGCGTGGCTTTGCTTTGTTTCCAGAGGAGGACAAAGTTACAGTTGGAAAAAGTCACCAAACTGTGACCGCATCCCTGGCTGTGAAGCAGCTAGTCCGGTCCCACCCCCACTAAGGGCGGTTCTGAGAATCCGTTTCGTTTCCTTTGGGCGCATCTCCTGAGTGCCCACTGTGTCAGGTTGGGTGCTGTGCAGACCAGCTCCCCATGTGGTCTCTGCCCTGCTGCCGCCCATCCTCACCACAGTGGCTGTAAGGTTGAAATTTCTGAAAACCAGCTCTCTTGTCACTCCTTGCTTGCCAACTTTCACCCCATTGTCAGGCCCTCTGGTCCCTGGCACCACTCCCGTTGCCACACAGCTGTGCTGGCTGGCAGGCACTCAGGTCCCTTCCCCTGGGTGTCCTGGCCCAGTCTTCACCACTCCCATCACCCAGCCTGAAACTCTCCCTGTTTGTCTGCTCAACTCCTGTCAAGGGGATCCCAACTTTAATCTGCCCTCCTCCTTCAGAGGGACATCCCACACCCTGTATCGTTTGTCCTCCATCCTGCATATAGACAAGGGACAGGCGTTAGGCAATAGCTCTACTTCTCCCTGACTTCTCCTTCCTGGGCATCAAGGCTTTCTATTTATTGGGACATCATTTCTGCTCCACAAGAGGCTCTAACGCAGAGGTTCTCAACCTGTGAGTCTCGACCCTTTGAGGTGGAACAACCCTTCTACAGGGGTCGCCTAAGACCACCGGAAAACACAGATATTCACAATGTGACTCAGAAGAGTAGTGAAATTACAGTTATGAAATACAATGAAAATAATTTTATGGTGGAGGGAGTCACCACAACATGAGGAACTGTATTAAAGGGTGGCAGCATTAGGAAGGTTGAGAACCACTGCCCTAAAGAAACAACGGAGTCTCAGATGAGAAAGGCTGGTTCCTTCTTGGATCTGCCGTCTAAGACCTAGACTCCAGAGATGCACAGGAAATGGGCTTCTCCGGCACGGTCCTAACCTGCTTTTCCTCCAGCTTTAGTGACAGGCCTGGCCTTCAGTGCTGGCCCTACTAATCATTTGCTATGTGATATGAAGTAAGGTTTTTGTCTTCCTCCATGCCTCAGTTTACCCATTTGTACAAAGAGGGTGTCCCATGTGACCCCCAAGATCCTATGCAGTGGAAAGAAAGAGATGAAAGGCGGTGACGGGACAAACGATGGCGGACATGAGAAGGCCTTTTGACATCTCTACTTGAAAAGTGAACTCCTTCCTCTTTAGACTTAGGGGACAGTCCAGGGATTCTCTAAAGCTACATTTCGTTTTATTAATATTTGTTGTTGCCATTATTGCTTTAAGACAAGGTCTCACTATGTACTTCTGTCTAGCCTGAAACTCAATGTGTTGAGCAAACTGACCTAAAATCCACAGAGATCCA